TGTCAGACTTAAGACCCCTTCCCTGTGCGGCTGTGGGATCTAAGGGTACAAGGGCTGGGCTCAGGGTTGTAAATGGGACCTAAAACATATCATTATTATCCATTTACTCTGGTGGCTTCATCTTGGCTATACCACTGGACCCCTGAAAATCAGTTTCGGGGCTGGAGGGAAATAGGGAGCCAAGGCAGGTGTGTGAGCAGGAAGGGCACAGTTAGATCTGGTGTCAGAAAGAACTGGGAAGAAAGAGAGGGCACAGACTGAGGGCTTTGATCCCCCAGGGAGACCACTGGACAGGTAGTAGGTGAGGATTGAGAGTTACCAACGGAGAACAAGCCCAGGCGCCCCACCCCCTCACCCCCACCCTCCCCACCCCGTTTGCTCTGAGGCTCCCTCAGCTGCCCAGGGAAGTAAATAGCACTCCTTGGTGGGACTGCCTCCTGGACCCCACCTGCTCCCACCTCCCAGGGCCAACCTTTGGCCTGCCCTTACTCTGTTCTGCCTCCCACTCTCTATTACTCAGAGTCTCTGTCTCTCTGTCTCTAAGTCTCTCTCTGTCTCTCTTTATCTGTCTCCACCCCTATCCCCAGCATACCCTCCTAGGTCCCTACCCGGGTTTCCCCTATCCTTGACACCCTGGAGTCCCCATCCCATGGCTGCAGTGACAGTAGGACGGGCAGAAATGGGAAGTGTGGTGCAGCTGTAGGCAGAGAGCACCTGGGACAGCGGCAGCCTGACCCTGCCAGGGCCTCTGATCCCAAGTAAGAAAGTGGTTTGCCTTTCAACAGCACGGAGGCCCAGAGAGGACAGACTGTTCCTCTCCAACAGGCTCTCTTTGCTTCCTCTGTCACCTCCCAAAACTCAAAACATAATTTCATTTTAATTTAACCTAAGTGGAGGGTTTTCTGGACTTCACTGAAATTTTTCTTCACCAGAAATATTACTTTCTTAAGGAACTTCCTAAAGTTTTGTGAGAGTCTTTATTTTTTGTTTGTTTGTTTTCTTTTTAAGATTTTATTTATTTGGGGCGCCTGGGTGGCTCATGCAGTTAAGCAGCTGCCTTCAGCTCAGGTCATGATCCTGAGCTTCACTTTGGGCTCCCTGCTCAGCAGGGAGTTGGCTTCTCCCTCTCCCTCTGCCCCTCCCTCCCTGCCCTGATTGTGCTGTCCCTTTCTCTTGCTCACTCAAATGGATAAATAAAATCTTTAAAAATAGGAAAAAAAGTTTAAAGATTTTATTTATTTATTTTAGATAGCACAAACGGGCGGGGGGCGGGGGCAGGGAGGAGGAGCAGAGGGAGAAGTAGGCCCTCTGCTCAGCAGGGAGCCCAAAGCAATGCAAGGCTCAAACCCAGGACCCCGAGATCATGACCTGAGCCAAAAGCAGCCGCTTAACCGGACTGAGGCAACCAGGTGCCCCTCTGTGAGAGTTTTTAAGAATCTTGTGTCTCCTTGAGAATTTCAGTGTCAATTTTAGGTAGTGACACAAAGTTAACTTTCTCATAACACTTTCCCCTTCTCTGCGCAAACAAATAAAACCAAATTGATCGTTTTTAATTTAGAAGACAAACAAAAGTTTAAAATCAAAGCCTGATTTTGTGATGACCCTCCAAGGGAATTCAGAGGGGTTCATGTGCAAAATTTCCTGTGACCATGACAAATTGTTTTCAGGAAAAAACCAAATGCTCACATCAGGACCAATGCATTTGACCTCGTGCGAATCCAAAGACTTGTCATTCGCTTCCTCCCTTGGGGATTTTCTGGCCAGGGACACAGGCAAAATGTGTTCAGAAAGTCTGTTTTTAGAGATTTTAGACACTGCTGGCAGGACTGTCAATGGAAACCACCTCTGGAGGACAAATTGGTGACTAGCTGTCAAAATATAAGCTGTAACTGCTTTGAGACCCAGCAGTTTCATTTGTGGGGATTTAATGTCAACTCTTACTTTGTTTAGTGAAACCAAAAATTTAGAAACAGTCTAAATGCCCATTGATAGTTATTGTGGTAATGTATGTGGTGAAAACCTAAGCACCAGGCAAAAGGAATCAACAAACCTTAAAGACATAATGTTAAGCAAAAAGACAAAGTTTCATCATTACTTTTTCCATTTTTAAAAAATCCAGCTAATAAACTATTGGAAAAAGAAACATTGCAAATCAAAGATAATGAGATCAAATACCAAAAAGAGATAGAATGTTGTTTTTGAGCTTGATACAAACGACATTAGTGTGTATATTTAAAACTCTGCTTCTAGGGCACCTGGGTGGCTCAGTCCTTTAAGTGTCTGACTCTTGATTTCGGCTCAGGTCATGATCTCAGGGTCATGAGATTGAGCCCCACATGTAGAGCCTGCTTAAGATTCTCTCTCTCCTTCTCCCTCTGCCCCTCCACCCTCCGAGCCCTGCTCATGCAAATGAGCTCTCTCTCAAATTAATTAATTAATTAATTAATTAATTAAAAAATAAGGAGCACCTGGGTGGCCCAGTCATTTAAGCTTCTGCCTTACGCTCAGGTCATGAATCTGGGGTCCTGGTATCGAGCCCCACGTTGGGCTCCCTGCTCAGCAGGGATTCTGCTTCTCCCTCTGCCCCTTCTCCCACTCCTTCTCACTCTCTCTCTCTCACTCTGTCTCTCTGAAATAAATGAAATCTTTAAAAATTTTAATTAAAAATAAAAAAAAAAATAGGGGCACCCAGGTGGCTCAGTCAGTTGAGCATCTGCCTTCAGCTCAGGCCATGATCTCACACATTGGGCTCCCTACTCAGCAGGGAATCTGCTTCTCCCTCTCCCTCTGTGCACTCTTTCTCTCTAATAAATAAATAAATCTCTTAAAAATAAATAATAAAAAAATTAAACTGTTTCTTACACTGTGACAATTACTCAAAATTGCACTATCAGATCTAGGGTGGCTTTTTAATTTTCTGGGAATTTATGGTTGCCTTTCTTTTTCCTTGACAACAGATGTCATGTTCATACATGCATATAGGCAACACTTTCAATATATCATGATAGGATCTTAAGTACATACCAAGACTGTCACACCTACTGGTGTTGGCCCAGGCACTGCCCCCATGTCTGTGCATGTCCACTGGACCCATCTTCCCTAGGCTGTACCCCCATCATGCTCTTTTCCACCCAGTGCTCCCACAGGCCCCAACCACACTACTTGGAGGCAGTGTCCCTCCCCTGCATATCAATTTCTCATCCTGGCATCAGAGGCTGCACATGATCCAGCCTCTCTTGCCTTAAAAAAAATACCCCCATTTATTAAGGCTGGGTGTGTGCCAGACACTGTGACAAGTGTTTCACAACTGGCTATGTTGCCTCCACTTTTGACAGAAGAAAACTGAGGCTTAAGCAAGGAAAATCACTTGTCTGAGGTCACACAGTGGTAGGTGGCACAGCCAGAACTTAACTCCAGAGCCTAAGTTGAAACCATGTATTCACTCTGCCTACATGGCCCCCATTAACAAAGATGGAAGATGTCCTCCTCCCACTCTGCTCAGGGGACTCTGGGTGGGCCTGGCCAACCTAGAGAAATAGCTGGTTGGGCACCACTTGCAGCCCCCAACCCTCCTCCCCTCAACAAGCCTCTGGGAAGGGTCCGGAATCAGGAATCACCGGGTAGCTGCAAAGGCCAAAGGTCAGACAGGGGTTTCCTGCCTACCCCTGGGAACTTCCTCCTTCCCAACCCAATTTCTGCTTCTGTGATGAACACCACCCTGGAGGACACCCTCCCCACTGTCAACTACCCCCAACTCCATTACCCTGGTTGATGGGGGGATGGGTCCCCATGCAGCAGCCTTCACCCTGCTGTGCCCCCCACGAACAGTGTACCGTAATGGTGTTTTGCCCAGCATCCTTTCCATCTGCTGGCCCCTTTCCCCTCAGCCTCCATCCCTCCCTCCTACCAGCCTTCAGCCCATGGAGCTAGGTCTTGTGTCCCACTCTGTCTCCCTGAGACTAAGGGTCCCTTATGGCCAGGTCTGAGACTGACACCTCATCCAGCATGGAAGGTTTTCCTAGAGCTCCTGATTCTGGCGGGGATGGGCAGGAGGGCCCACCCAGAATCCTTTGCTCCTTGGTCCCCAAATCCCCTTCATGCCCACCCCGGGGGTGACTGACAGTGAAGCTCAACCCCCACCTATCTGGCACTTCCCATTCACCACTTCACAGAGCCCCGAAATAACACTTCCAGCAGGAAATGATAGTAATAACAAAACAGCAAACCCTTTCTTACAGCCCCCCTCCCTGGCCCTGTCACGGGAACACCACAGGGATACCCATCTCACAGAAGGGGAAACTGAGAACAGAGAGGAAAAGCCCCTTGCTTGAGCTCACTTGGGTCGAGCCTGCTTGGCCATCTCCAAGTTCACTGCTGTGTATGCTGCTCCCCGAGTACTTAAGCAGCGCCTGTGTGAGCAGGGCAGCGGGCGGGCTGACAGCTCAGGGAGCCTGGGCCACTGCCATCCATGGTTCAGCCCTCTGTGAAGCCCTGATGAGCACCTACTGTGTGCCTGGCTCTGGGCCAAGCACTCTGCCTGATTTAGCTCACGAGGTGGACACACATCCGTAGCCAGTCCACCCGGAAGGAAGCCCCACTCTGTGAACTCACAGCGTGAGACCCGGGCCTCATGGTCCCCTCTGCTTCCCTGTGCCTCAGTTTCCTCCTCCTCACGACAGGGGTCGATGACAGGAGATAGTATGCAGCCAGTGGCTGAGAATAGCGCTTGGCACGGAGCAAGGGCAGGTGGGGAAACTGAGGCTCCGAGTGGCCGAGGAAGCCCCCGGCACCCAGTTGGGGCCCCGCCCAGTGAATGTCAGAACCCAGCAGCGCCGCGGCCCCTCCCTTCACAGCCAGGGTGGGAGTGTTGTGATAACCCACAGCCCCCATTTCCTCCCGGTCAGGAAGGAGCCAGGCAGAGGAAGTATTAAGAGGAGTAATATAAACACTCCCCCCCACCGCCCCCGCTCTGTGGCAGGGTGAGCAGAAGGCGCTGCAGCAGCCACCCAGAGCAGGCCGACCAGCCGAGCAGTGCCAAGGGCCCCGGGCAGAGATGGGCCTGGCGATGGAGCACGGAGGCGCCTACTCGCGGGCAGGGGGCAGCGCAAGGGGCTGCTGGTACTACCTGCGCTACTTTTTCCTCTTTGTGTCGCTCATCCAGTTCCTCATCATCCTGGGCCTCGTCCTCTTCATGGTCTACGGCAACGTGCACGTGAGCACAGAATCCAACCTGCAGGCCACCGAGCGCCGGGCCGAGGGCCTGTACAACCAGGTCGTGGGGCTCACGGCCTCCCAGGCCAACCTGTCCAAGGAGCTCAACCTCACCTCCCGCGCCAAGGACACCATCATGCAGTTGCTGCTGAATACCCGCCGCGACCTGGACCGGATCAATGCCAGCTTCCGCCAGTGCCAGGCTGACCGGGTAAGGCCTTGGGCCAGGCGCTCACCCTGGGCACTCTGGGCAGGTCCCCTCACCAATCTGAGCTCCGGTGCCCTTGCCTGGGAGCCAAAGACAGTCGTAGACTCTCTATTTCATGTGAGGAGCCCATGTGGATAAGTAATGCATAGTTTGTTAGTACAAGTATATCCCATATGATATTGGGGATACACTTATCCTAAAAGAATATATTCACTATCTATCCGGAACTTAAGTTTAACTGGGCATCCTGGCTATGGATTGGCAGCACCCCTGGGCCCATGACTTAATATGTATAAAGCGCTCAGAATGTGCCAGCACATACCAGCTACGAATAAGAACTAGCTAAACAAAAACTCAGCGCCTTTGGTTCTTACTGTATGAACAGCTCCCATTTGCCTTATGCTGGGTGTCTGCTTTAGAAATATCTCATCATTGAATCTCTTGAGGTAAGGAGAAGCTCCAAACCCTTTTGTGGATGGGGAAGTGAAAGCCTGAGTGGGGGGAGGCAGGTTTCTCCGGGGGGAAAGAGACAGGCATCCCCAGGGAAGTCCCCGCAGCACACGTGGGCATCTAGTGGAGACAGCCACCCATTTGCTCCCCCAGCTCATGTCATACTCACTCGGCAAGACAATCTCCCATGTTCTCACACCTGTGCTTCCTCTGGGGAGGCCTTGCTGCTGGGACCGCATTCCTCAGGCCTCTGGAGAATGGGGTGAGAGATGGGAGATGCTCCCCCTGTTTGTGCTCTCTCTCGCTCTCTCTCGCTCTCTCTCTGCCAAATAAATAAATAAAATCTTTAAAAGAAATGCAGCTTTATGGAGATATAATTCATATGCTCTACAGCTCACCCAATTAAAAGTGTACAGTAATTTTTAGCACCTTCACAGAGTTGTGCAATCATCACAATTGATTTTAGAACATTTCATCACTCTAGAAAAGAAACCCCATCCCCGTGAGCAGTCACGCCCTGTCTCCCCCCCATCCCCCAGCCCCTGGCAACCACTGCTCTCTGTCTCTATGAATTTGCCTCTTCTGGACGTTTCATATAAATGGGATCCTGCAACAGGTGTCCTTTTGTGTCTGGCTTCTATCATTCAGCATGACGTTTTGAAGGTTCACCCTCATTGTAACATGTGTCAGGGGTCTGTTCCTTTTTATGGCCGAGTAATATTCCATTCTGTGGATGGACCTCATTTTGTTCATTCACCCACGGATGGACCCTTGGGTTGTTTCCACCTTTTGGTGATTGTGACTAGGGCTGCTATAAACATGCATGTAAAAGTTTTTGTGTGGACCTATGCTTCAATTTCTCTCGGGTCTATACCCAAGAGTGGAATTGCTGGGTCACATGGTAATTCTATGTGTGACATTTTGAGAAACTGCCAGACTGTTTTCCAAAGCGGCTGCCCCATTTTATATTCCGACCAGTACTGTCTGGGATTTCTCATTTCTCTACATCCTCACCAATGCTTGTTACTCTCTGCTTTTGTTTTCCATTTCATTTATAACCATCCTAATGGTTGGAAGGTGGTATCTCCCAGTGGTTTTTATTTGCACTTCCTTGATGAGTAATGATGGTAAATATTTTTTGATGTGCTTGTCAACTGCACGTATATCTTCTTTGAAGAAATGTTTCAGATGCTTTGCCCTTTTTTCAATTAAGTTATCTTTTTATTATTGATCCATAAGAGTTTACTTTTATATATTCTGGATACTAGTCATATCATCAGATACATTCTTTGCAAATATTTTCTCCCATCTATGGGTTGTCTTTTCCCTTTCTCTATTTTTTTTGTAATTGAAGTATAGTTGACACACTGACTCACGTCAGTTTCAGTTATACGACATAGTGATTCAACAGTCTTTTCCCTTCATAGAATTCTTTAAAGCACAAAAGTTTTTAATTTATCTGTTTTTCTCTTTGTGTTTTTGGTGTCACGTCTAAGAAACCATTGCCGGCGGGGGGCACCTGCTCAGCAGGGAGTCTTCTTCTCCCTCTCCCTCTGCCCCTTCCTACTGCTCTGTGCTCTCTCTCTCTCTCCCAAATAAGTGAATAAAATCTTAAAAAAAGGGGGGGGGCGCCTGGGTGGCTCAGATGGTTAAGCGTCTGCCTTCGGCTCAGGTCGTGATCCCAGGGTCCTGGGATCAAGTCCCGCATCGGGCTCCCTGCTCCTTGGGAGCCTGCTTCTCCCTCTGCCTCTCTCCATCTCTCTCTGTCATGAATAAATAAAAAAATCTTTAAAAAAAATCTTAAAAAAGAAAAGAAAGAAAGAAAAAGAGAAAGAAAGAAAGAAAGAAAGAAAGAAAGAAAGAAAGAAAGAAAGAAAGAAAGAAAGAAGGAAAGAAAGAAAGAAAGAAAAGAAAGAGAAAGAAAGAAACCATTGCCAAATTCAAGGTCATGCAGAGTTAACACCTATGTTTTCTTCTAAAGAGTTTTATAGTTTTAGTTCTTATATTTGGGTCGTTGAGCCATTTTGAGTTAATTTTTGTATATGGTGTGAGGTAGGGGTCCAAATTCATTCCTTAACATGTGGAGATCCAGCTATGCCAGAACCATTTGTTAAAAAGACTCTTTTTTCCCCATGGAATGATTTTGCCACCTCTATTAATTTTCTAGGGCTGCCTTATTAACAAAGTACCACAAATTGGGTAGCTTAAACAATAGAAATTTATTTTTGCACATATGCGAGGTCAAGATGCAAGTTCCTCTGGAGGGTTAGAAGAGAAAAATCTGTTCCAGGCCTCTCTCCTTGCCTTGTAGACCTTCTCACTGTGTCTTCACATCATCTTCCCTCTGTGCATTTCTGGGTGTCCAAATGTCCTCTTATAAGGACACCAGTCATATTGGATTAGGGTCCACCCTAATGACCTCATGTTAACTTAATCACATCTTTAAAGATGCTATCTCCAAATACAGTCACGTTCTGAGGTACTGGGGAATAGGACTTCCATTTATGAATGGGGGGCACAGTTCAGTTCCTAACAGCATCCTTGTCAAAAAGTATTTGGCCAGGGGCACCTGAGTGGCTCAGTTGGTTAAGTGTCTGCCTTCAGCTCAGGCCATGATCCCAGGGTCTTGGGATCGAGCCCCACATCGGGCTCCTTGCTCAGTGGAGAGCCTGCTTCTCCCTCTCCCTCTGCCCTTTTCCCTGCTTGTGCTCTCTCTCTCTCTCTCTCTGTCTGTCAAATAAATAAATAAAATCTTTAAAAAAAAAAAGGAGTTGGCCATAAATGTGAATTATGTTTTCAAGGTTCATTCAAGTTGTAGCATGTATCCATGCTTCGTCCCCTTTTATTGCCAGATAATGTTAACTGTAACAACTTTTAAGGATCCAACCAGCATCCCCTCTATAGGAGCCATGCCCTTGTGAACTGGGCCAACCCAGGTCACCCGGGTGTGGAATCTGGGGCCCCAAGCCCAGAGCGTTGGGGCAAACCAGGAGCAAGGGGACCCACGGGCATTGGACTGTGAGCTCTGTCCCATGTCCTGTCCCGTTAGGTGAGCTACATGAACAACCAGCGGTACATGGTGGCCATCATCTTGAGCGAGAAGCAATGCCAAGAACAACTCAAGGAGACTAACAAGAGCAGCAATGGTGAGTGGTCGGGGCAGTAGGGAGCCAGGGTGGTAGACTCCCTGCCCAGTGTCTTGGCAACCCCCAACCTTCCTGAGACGCATTATTGTGTCCCTGTAGCCTTGCTCCTCATGCTGAACCAGAAGGCCAAGACGCTGGAGGTGGAGGTGGCAAAGGAGAAGGAAGTGTGCACCAAAGACAAGGAGGGGCTGGTGCTGAAAAAGCGAATGGTGGAGGAGCAGCTGACCGAGTGCGGCAAGGCCCAGGAGCAGCAGCGGCGGGAGCGACAGCTGGCCGAGGACCGCCTGCAGAAGGTGCAGGCCCTCTGCCTCCCACTGGACAAGGACAAGTTTGAGATGGAGCTGCGCAACCTCTGGAGGGACTCCATTATCCCACGCACCCTGGACACGATGGGCTATAATCTGTACCATCCTCTTGGCTCGGAAATAACCGCCATCCGGAGAAGCTGCGACCACATGCCCACCCTCATGACCACCAAGGTGGAGGAGCTAGCCCGGAGCCTGCGGGCCGGCATAGAGCGCGTGGCCCGCGAGAACTCGGACATCCAGCGCCAGAAGCTGGAGGTCGAGCAGGGCCTGCGGGCCAGTCAGGAGGCCAAGGAGAAGGTGGAGAAGGAGGCCCAGGCCCGGGAGGCCAAGCTCCAGGCCGAATGCGCCCGGCAGACACAGCTAGCCCTGGAGGAGAAGGCAGCACTGCGGAAGGAGCGAGACAGCCTGGCAAAGTTGCTGGAGGAGAAGAAGCAGGAGGCAGAGCAGCTCAAAATGCAACTGGCTGTCAGCAACTCTGCCCTGGACACCTGCATCAAAGCCAAGGTGGGCTAGAGGGCCCTGGATTCAGGTTGCATTGGGGTCCGGTCTGGGGGCCATGTTGGTGGTGATGTCTAATGGGTTTGAGGTGAGCTTCCCAGGCTAGGTCTGGTTAGTTAACTCACTTGAGAGTGTCACTGACATAGGATTGGGGTGGAGTTTAGGGTGGCTGGTGGGCCTAAAAATTGGTTGAGGGTGGGAACGCCTGGGTGGCTCAGTCGGTTAGGCATCTGCCTTCGGCTCAGGTCATAACCCTGAGGTCCTGGGATCGAGCCCCGCACTGGGCTCCTTGCTCGGCGGGGAGCCTGCTTCTCCCTCTGCCTGCCGCTCCCCCTGCTTGTGCGCTCTCTCTCTCTGACAAATAAATAAATAAAATCTTTACCAAAAAAAAAAAAAATTGGTTCAGTGTGAGGACGGGGGATTCGTGGAGGGTTGGTGTCAGGGTTGGGATGTGTCTGAGTTGAAGGATCAGGGAGCATGGGTGGGGTTGGCAGTTAGACTGAAGTTTAAGGCTAGAGGAAGGCTTGATGTGGAGCAGAGCTTGTGTTTGGGTTAAAGTGAATTCTTAGTGACCGCCGTGTTTAGAGTTGGTTTGAGTTAAAGTTAGGATTCCATCGAAGATTACATTAGTCTAAGAATTGGGGTTGTGCTGAGTTTGGATTGTAGGGGAAGGTTGAAAGTTAGGTCAGGTGTCACATGCAAGGCAGCCTGGTGAGTCTAGCATTGGGAGCAGGATGTCAGTGGCTTGAGTTCGGTTGCGTGGGGGCACCAACCTTAGAGCTGAAGCTCAGGTGAGTGTAGGTGGCTGGTGGGTCTAGAGATGATTAGAGGTTTGGGGCCAAGGGTGGATTTAGGATTTCATTAGCATTAGGATTGGGATTGGTGTTGACCATGGGTTAGGAGTTGAAATTGGTTTGGGTTTAGGGTGGCTGACCGAGGGTTGAATTGGGTTGGCATTGGGATATATTAGAAATGAAAGATTGGGTGACCCTGAGTTAGGGTAGGGAGACCTGGGGAGGGGTGAGGGTCAGGGCTGGGTGCAGAGTAGAAACTGAACAGGTGCTAATCTTAGGGTACAGTTCTTCCATTTGAGGTAGAGGCTAGGGTCTAAGGTTGAGTTGGAGTGAGTGTGGTATTGGGAAAATGTTTATGGGTGAAAGTGGTGGAGCCCAGGGCTGGGCTGGGGGGAGGGGGTTGGGGGTGGATTTTTCACAGCAGCCAGCTCTAAGGAATGGGTTGGGATCAGAGTTAAATATAAAGTTATGGTCAGATCAGGTTTGTCATTAGGATTGGGTTTAGGTCAGGGTTTGATTCTAAGGAAAGTTCTGTTTTCATGTTGGGATTGGATTTTAGGTGATTGAGTTTAGAGCTGGCTTTGGATTTCAGGCTTAGGGTTGTTGGAGGGAAGGCACTGGATTTACGGACTGGGTTGGCTTCAGTCCAGAGTGGGGCCGGGTTCGGTGTTGGGTGGATGGACTCACTTGGGGTCATGGATTGGGATCGGGTTGGAACTAAGATTGTAGGGGAGACCGAGGTAGGCCACTGCAGGGTCTCTAGGGGGCTTCCAGGGAAAGTCTGGAGTCCCCAGTCCTTTGAGGGCAGGTGGGTGCAGGTGATTGTACATCCATTAATGTGGGTGTCTTTCCCTGATATGTTTCCCCGCCCTGGAAGGAACTCACACCCAGGTATCCAAGGGCATGGAGGAGCAGGAACCTCCCTGGCACTCTCGTTCAGGGACCCCGGCTTCTGTCAACCTCCCTCCATCTTTCTTCCCACAGTCGCAGCCGATGCCTATACCAAGACCTGTTGGCCCTGCCCCCAACCCCCAGCCCATCGGTGAGTGACAGAAAACAGGGCCAGGAAGGGGTCCGGGGATTGTCCTTTCTACTTCTTATCCCACCTCAGCCCCGCTGTCGGGGCTGCCAGCCCACCCCTAGCCCAGGGTTGGGGCAGCTGGTTGGAGCTGACCCCTCCCTCTCGCCACAGACCCAGCTGGCCTGGAGGAGTTCAAGAGAAGGATCCTGGAGTCCCAGAAGCCCCCTGCAGGCCATGCTATAGCTCCATCCAGGTAAGGCACTGGGCCGACTGAGATGGTTCAGTCTCAGGGCTTCAGAGGAGGCTGGGAACAAGACTAGGAGTGGAGGGAGGCTCATCTCACACTCGCTGCTTCCTTAATTGAGTGCCTGCTGTATATCAGGCCCTATGCTGGGTCCTGGGGACACAGTAGTGACCAAGACCCATGCAGGTCTGTTCATGAAACTCCCTGAGTAGGGGGTGAGAGAAACAATGAAGGAACCATGAAAAGAAAGACCAAGAGCCTACAGTTACTAGGTGCTTACTGTGAATTCAGCACAGTTGCAAGCACTTTGCAGGATCAACTCACTGAATCCTCACAACCCTAATCAGTGGGCAAGCCACTGTCATCACCCACCACTTTCCAGACGCGGAAAGTGAGGCACAGAGAAGGCATGCACCGCGCTCCAGGTAACACAGCCGGGGAGTGGCAGAGATGGGGACTCGAACCCAGGCTCTTGGACTCCAGGCTTCCGTGCAAGGGAGGGCTTCCATGAGGAGGAGGCCTTTGAGCTGGAGGATGGGGCTGAGCTGGTCTGGGAAGGGCGGAAGGTACAGAGCTCCAGGTGACAAGAAGAGCCAGAGTAAAGGCTCAGAGGCCAGACTGGGGTGAGATGGGGGGTGGCTGGAACTGAGTAAGGGAGGAGGGAGAGCAGAGGCAGAGACCCTGGGCCTCTCACCCCACCCCTCTGAGCCTCTTTTTCTAACCTCTACAAAAACGGAGGTCTCTGAAATCAAGGGCATGGAAAACTCTGCTAACTGTAAAGTGCTGTCCACAAGTGCCTAAAGCAAGGGGCTGGGGATTGCAGCAGGGCGCATCAAGACACCCCTGTGCACACTCAGGTCAGGGCTCCGTGTCTGTACCCCGCACCCCCCCCCCCGCCACCTCGTACAGACCGTGCATCACAGGGAAGGTGACTCAGGCCATTGCCCCGAGAACATCCTGTTCTCCCTCCCGGGTGGTGGCTACGCTCCCCGTTCAGGACCACATCGCTGACCAAGGAGTCTGGGATGGGCATTGCCATTCGCAGTTTAGGAGCCGGGGCTCCAGGAGACACGGGGGATTTTAAGTCAGATTCCGCTGACCCCAAGCCTGTGCCTCCCATGGGCTCTACCAGCAAGAATGTGGTCAACCTGGTCTGTTTCAGCCTCGGGGTCTATTTCAGCCTGGGGACAAATAGACTTCCAGCGGGCTGTCTTCAAATCCCAGGGGGTCCTCCACATCCAGCTCCATTTCCTGTATGGCTCCTCTTACATAGCCCCTCTGACGGGGAGCTTACCTTCTCCCAGAACTTGTCCCTTCCGCTCAGGATGGCTCTGTCTGGGAGAAATCGCTTAGCCTCAGGCAGCCCGCAGAGAGGGAAGCAAGAGGGTGGAGAGAAGACCCTGCTCCAAGCAAACAGTTTTCCTCTCTCTATCTTGGCCCAAAGCCATCATGGCAAGGAAGGAGGTTCTATTATTATCCCCACTTTTCAGAGGAGGAAACTGAGGCCCCAGGGAAGTGACCAACCTGGGGTCATGCGTCAGTGAGTCAGGGCCAGAGCCAGGCTCCCAGCCCAGACCCGTCCCAGCTGAGAAAGGGGAAGCTCTTGACATTGTTTACCCCCAAGACATCCCTCTACAGAGAAAACAATGAGTACTTAAGGCAGGGCCCCTCCCGCTTCTCTCTGGCTTCTCTCTGCCGGGTCTCAGGAAGGGGCTCTGGCTCTCTGATCTCCAGCCTTGATTCACCTTCCCCCTGAGAAAGGGGCCATCAGCTCTGGCTTGGAGTCCCAGCGAGGCCAGCCCCTTGGTGGGCTAGCCTAGGCAAACCATAGGCTGTGGTGTCACCAACCACATTGGAATTTTAGATGCCTCTGATCAGGGGCCAGGGCCGAGGTCCAGCATCCAATCACTCAGCCCCCCAGTCGGGAGAGTCTCTTCCTTCTCCACTCATTCCTTCTGGGCCTTGACAAAGTCTCCGAGGTGCTAACACTCTCCACTTGCTGCTCTCCCTGCGATCCCAAAGCCAGGGTCAACCCTCAGCCCAGCATCAGCTGGATGGGAACACAACGTCTTGCTTTTTCCGTGGACATTTTTAAGTCATTTTCTCTTGATGGCAAGTGCACTAGTTTTCCTTTTTACCTGATAAGACTGTGTCCTTTGGGTATCCATTTATTTAAGTTAAACACAAACCCACAATTGATGTGAAGACAAATAAGGAAATACTGGTTTCAGGGGAAGGTGACTGGATAAGACAAAAGTTGTGATGCAGTTTTGGAATATAGGTGAGGTTGCGGGGGGAGGGGGGGGAGGTCCGGAGCCGACGGCCAAGAAAGAATTCTTGAGACATCTTTGGTGCAAAATGGTGGTTTTATTAAAGCACGGGGATAGGACCCATGGGCAGAAAGAGCTCCTGCACCGGGGTGGTGAGGGGTGGCTGATTATATACTTGGGAGTTGGGGGAGGTCAGGAAAAGGGAGGTTTCAAAAGAATTTTCATAAACTAAAGAAGACCCTCAAGATCCTGGAGGCCTGGCTGTTATCAGGCTAAGATTGGTGTTCCCTCCGGCAAAGCATTAACATTAAGAGAGTTGGGAGCTTCCTGGAAGAAGGTCCCACAGATCCCACCCAGGAGTTGGGGGCCAGGGGGAGGTTGCAGGGTGTCAGCTGGTGCTTTGTCCTCAGCTAGTCTTCTGCTCCCTCAACAGTGGCAATGTGGAAGGTTGAAGATCGGGAGTCCGGCCCTGGCTCTGAGCCGGACACACAGCGAGTCTCATTCAAGTTCATTGCCATCCCAATTGTGATTCGGTTTGTTTATTCAACCCGTGTGTCTTGAGCAGCTGGGGGTTGAGGACACGAGTAGGAATAGGCAGAGAAGCCGGCGCCCTTGTGGGGCTCCCAGTCTAGTGGGGCAGACGGATGCTAAACCAGATGCGTGAGCCCCTTGGCGGTGGGCGAGGCAGAAAAGGGATGTGGCAGTGTGAGGTTAATATTTTCCACAGAAGGCCAGGCAGGCTTCTCTGCCCTGCATGAGGGTGATGCTGGGGCAGAGAACTGGAGGAGGTGAGGGAAGAGCCATGGGGGTGGGGTGTCCCTGGAAGGGTGTACCAGGCAGAGAGCACAGCCCATGCCAAGGCCCTGAGACAGGACCAGGCCTGGTGAGGAGGCTGGTGCGGCTGGAGCAGAGCCATCCAGGGGGTGAGTAGGGAGTGAGGGGGGCACGCGGGGCGCAGGTCAGGTAGGGCCTGTGGCTGCAGTGAGAACTTTGGGAGCTTTGGGACAGTGGGAGCAGAATAGGACATGACCGGCCTCAGGCGTTCCGAGGCACCCTCTAGTCGCTGTTGGGGGGTGAAGGCGGCAGCCAAAGACCAGGACAAAGGCACCTGCCCTGGTCCAGGCATGTGATGTTGGGGGCTTAGGAGACTCGGTCTCTGAGAAATGGCCAGGGACCACCTCCTTGCAGGCTGGCGGGCAGGAGTGGGTGAAGGATGTATGCCAGGGCTGGCCGGGAGCTGTGTGAATCCTGGTCAGGCTGGAGCCGGGGGGGGGGGGGGGGGGGGGGGGGGGCGCAGAGCCAGCCAAGGAACGTGAAGCTGCTCGGCCCCAGGGAAGAGCCGGGGAAGGAAGGGAGTGGGCCAGCGGAAGCAGGACTTGGCTGAGGCCCCCTCCTCCCCGACCAGGAAACAGCCTCTGAGCCAACCCCTGACCCCTCACGAGAACCTCTGTTAGGCCGAGGAGGGGGAAGGGCAGTCCAGACAGCAGGATGGCTCCTGCAAAGGCAGGGGGGAGGGGTGCAGTGAAGCAATGCCTCCTGAAATTTTGGAGGACTGGCAGGGTTTAAGTTCCTGATGAGGAGGACTGGTAGGGACAGAGAGGGTGGAGCCTTGAATGCCGGGTAGAAAGGATCTGGCTTTGTGGGCCGGGCACTGCGGAGCCAAGGAGAGTGTGTGAGGAGGGGCAGGCTCCTGGGAAAAACCCTCCTGGGAATGGGTGAGGGGCTAGCCCCGGGGCAGTTCCGTGGAGACAAAGGAGGGAGACTGAGGCCCCATCTGAGGGGTGAGGGATATGGACAGGAGCTTTGGGGCAAACTCCCAGGATCCCCAGGGCCCTGGAGACCCCAGGTAAAATGGCTGCCGCAGAGGCCTGGAGCACAGAAGGTGGCGTCTCTGACCACCGTCTCGTCATCTGTAGACTGAGGAGGCCCACGTCCCAGGGAGGTTCAACAAGTAGGAGTCTAATGGGAAGGCTGAACCCCAAAAGAGCCGAAGAGTCCTTGGTGGCAAGAAGGAGCCTGGGGTTGGGGGCAGCAGGCCCAGGCAAGCTTTGTCCTTCCATCTGTCTGACTATTGTATTACCATGTCCTTCCTGCCCTAGCGGCTGAGGAGGCTCCAGGCCCTGAGGACCAAGGTATGGCCCCGCCTGGCCAGTCTGCGGACTCCGGGCAGCGAGATGCCCACGGCGCAGCCTGCAGCCAGGGCCCCGGCCGGCCGAACGCCCGCGCACACGCCCGAGTGGCTGCCCTTGGCCTCTGCCCCACGCCCGTCCCTCCCCACACCCCACGACGCCCTCTGATACTCTCACAGCCCCTAGCCCACAGACATGGCAGTGACATCCACAGACGTAGCAGTGACGTCACACACACGCACCTTATGCCCAGCCCTTGCCCCATGTCGCACCCCTCCCAGGCACTCACAGCATCCCCCCCCCCGCCGTCTGCACACCCCCGTGCCCCCGCCACAGCGCCCTCCGATTTTCTCGTCTTCAGACTCCTCCCCCCCAGTGTGCGGGGCCTAGGGGAAGTGGGAATGGGAAGGCAGCCTCCGGTCCCCCCTGGAGAGTCTCCAGGCTCCCCTGCCGGGCCACACTCGAACCCAGAGCAAGTGTCCCCCACTGACCCCGTCATAGCCCGCAATTGATGTGAACAGCAGCTGCCTCTCGTCCCTCTCCCCCCACACCCAGCCCTGCCCCCGGCCCCTATAAATGTTAGTGGCACTAAATAAATATTGAATCCTTTCCAAGACTCCAGAGTGGTGATTTTTGCTTTGAAAAGTCACCTCCTAGCGATGCCTGAGAAAAGACCCCGCAAGCTAGGATCCCTCCCCCTGTCCCCAGCCTGTCCCCAGGCCAGAAGAGTCTGGGGTGACACCAGCTTCCCTCAAAGCCCTGAAACTGCTTTTTAAATACCTGCTGTTTGGGGCGCCTGGGTGGCTCAGTCGTGAAGCGTCAGGGGCCTGCTTCTCCCTCTCCCTCTGCTTGCCACTCCCCCCGCTTGTTCTCTCTCTCTCTCTCCACACCCCCCAACAAATAAATAAATAAAATCTTAAAAAAAAAAAAAAAAGCACAGTTTCTTAAAAAACAGGTTATCCATCTGTGACTTTCATCTTCCTAAGATTTGCAAAGATTTCCCCCCAGGTACTGAGGCAAGACAGCTAACCCTCTCCAGAATGTCTCCAGGAACAGCGGCACTAAAGGCTCAGGCCATTTGTTTTGTCTTGTTTTGTTTTGTGGCGAGATGGGATGTCAGAAAGGGCACCAGGGTCCAGTGGGAGTGCTTTTTTTTTTTTTTTTTTAAGATTTTATTTATTTGACAGAGAGACACAGCGAGAGCAGGAACACAAGCAGGGGGTGGGGGGGGTGGGAGAGGGAGAAGCAGACTTCCCGCTGAGCAGGGAGCCCGATGACCTGAGCCAAAGGCAGAGGCTTAACGACTGAGCCACCCAGGCGCCCCCAGTGGGAGTGCTTTAACACGCTAATCACTAAATTCATGGGGAAAACAGGAAAAAGTGCATTAGAGGAATACAGGGAAATCTCATTGTACCCAGTAGACCGGGAAAAAAAAAAAGTTTAAAAAGCCATAATACCTACTGCTGGTGAAGATGTAGAGAAAGGACATTTTTCTACAGGACTAGTAGAAATGCGAATCTCATCGTGGGCCTCTGGAAATTAGTTTGGTGATATTTCATTAAAGTAAAGATGCACAAACCCTTTGGCTCAGCAACCCCATTTCTGGGATTTTATCCCTGAAAAGTAAAAACTCCAGGAAATAAAGCAAATGGCCATCAGTAGAAAAAAAGGCCTAAAAATTGTGGTCTAGAATCTCAGCTTGTCATTCGCTGCCTCCACCCCCACCTCCACCCCCCATCTTCCCCACTGCCCCAGCCTGGATTCCCTCCCAGCCCATCCTCCCGGGACCCTAGACAGGGAGGGGATGAGTCACAAGGAGCCAGGGCTGGCAACGCCACGCTTAAGGCAGGCTAGTCAGGAGGGACAAAGGAGCGATATTTCCTGGATACGGAAACTCGGGTGAGAGACGCCTGCTGCAGGAAACACTCGGCTGGGGCGCCGCCAAGCCAGGGCAGGGGGGTCAGCCAGGCCAGGCCGCCCAGACGGGACAGTCTGGAGGCCCCAAGGAAGTGAAGACGTCCCTGACCCTCAGCCTACTGCCTGGGCAGCTGGAGACTTGGAGAGGATGATGACACCAGCCAGTCCCAGCAACCACAGGATGTCTGAGTTTTGGGTTCTGGAGCCAGACATCCCTGAATCCAAATCTTGACTCATTCGGTCTCAGCCTCCATTTTCTCATCTGAGAAATAATCGTTCTAAACTTTCTGGACACATGGGCACGGGTCTGACTTTTGGTTGGTCTCTCCCATCCAGAGTGTCCCAGGATGTCATCCCTCCAGCTGGCCCCCACGCCCGGCCCTGCTGGTCTAGAGAGACCTTTCCATCATGGGATCTGACCGTGTCCCTCTCTGGCTCACACACTCTCCATGGCTCCCTATTACCCTGGGAACAAAGTCCAGTTCCTCAGCTCTCTTGGGCCCCCCTGCCCCTTGCCGCCGCCACCCCCACTTCCAGTGCAGCTCTTGCCTCCAGCTGCCCTGGACCTTTCATTTTCTGGCTAAAGACTATCTCTTAATTTGTGCTCTCAGACTAGAATGCCTTTTTCTTCTTCCTGCCCCCCAAATATCCCTCCTCCAGGCAGCCCTCTTGATTGCCCCAGGTATTGTCCTTGCTCCCGATGGGGCAATCCCCAGCTCCATCCTTCCCTTTATGCAGACCTGACCATGTAGCTCTGACTCCCCCAAGTTGGTGGGTTCCCCCGGGGGGCAAGGCAGGGACTGGGTACCTGTCAGGGAGCAGTTGGCAGACCACCTCCCTGACCTTGTGGCCCAGCCACCGGGTGAGGTTCTGACTCTTTAGGGATTTCCTGTGACCTCTATAAATAACCCCCATGGCTGCTTCCCACAAACCACCTCATCCTTCTTGGAAAAAAGGGACGGTAGCCAAGGACCTCAGTCCAGCTGTGTGCCAGAGCCCGGGGGAGGCGGGTGGGGCCGAGGCATCCTGCCCCAAGAGCGTCTCTCTCCCCACCCAGACCCTGCTCACCCCTCCTGGGAGCCCTTTGAACCCTCCTGATGTGGAGGACATCTGGACACCCAGCCCCGCTAAACCTATGCTATTGCTTTTCTCCTCTGGGCCTGTTTGTATTCCCGAAAAATAGACATAATAGCAATATTCGTGGGCTCAGCTCACTGAGTGGCCCTTTCCCTCCAGGGGCCCCCCATGCTGGGACAGCCCTAGCTGCTAAACAAGCAAACAAATCGATAGTGACATATTGCAATGAAGTCTGTGAAGACACAGGGTCAGGGGGCCCCCTTTGGTTGGGTGGGTGGGGGGGAATTCTAGATGCCTTCTGAAAACTCTCTTCATCCTCTTTGTTGGCCCTGGATACTCCCCAGCCTCTGCTCACCGGTGCCCTAAAACCTGAGAGCTTGTATCTTCCATCACTGGAAGTAGGACTATTTTTCTGATTCTGGAAGGGATCCTGACCCTATTTAAGACTGTTTTTCTGCCTGTGGCAAGGGATTAACCGTTCACCTGCTGCCAGGTGGGTGTGGAAGCCTGGATCCCAGGGTCCTTAGAGGGTGAGAGCGTTGATGGAGGGGGGAGGGGGCGGTGCTGCCAGGACCTTCTTTTGTTAGAGGAGGACGCCCTCTGCTGGTTCATCACCAACATAACAGGCCCCTGTGAGTCTCAGAATCCAAGATCTCACCACTAATTCAGAGGGATACATGCACCCCCATGTTCACAGCAGTATTATCTACAATAGCCAAATCATGGAAGCAGCCCAAGTGCCCGTCAGCAGATGAACGAAGAAGATGTGGTATATATACACAATAGAATATTATTCAGCCACAAAAAGAATGAAATCTTGCCATTTTTGCAACGACATGGATGGAGCTAGAGTGTATAATCCTAAGCGAAATAAGTCAAAGACAAATACCATATGATTTCACTCATATGTGGAATTTAAGAAACAAAACAAATGAGCAAAGGAAAAAGAGAGAGAGAAACCAAGAAACAGACTCTTTTTTTTTTTAAAGATTTTATTTATTTATTTGTCAGAGAGAGCACAAGCAGGGGGAGCGGCAGAGGGAGAGGGAGAAGCAGACTCCCCGCTGAGCAAGGAACCCGATGCGGGACTCGATCCCAGAATCACGACCTGAGCCGAAGGCAGTCGCTTAACCGACACACCCAGGCGTCCCCAAGAAACAGACTCAACTCTAGAGAACAAACTGGTTACCGGTGGTGGGTGGGGGATGGGGGAAACACGTGATGAGGATGAAGAGGTGCACTTGTCATGATGAGCACTGAGTAATGTACTGAATCACTATTTTGTGCACCTGAAACTATTATAACACTGTATGTTAACTATACTGGAATTAAAATAAAAAACTTAATAAAAGAAAGGGTCAAAAAAAAGAAAAAGAATCAAAGTCCTATCAATCAGATCGTCCCTCTCTTCCTCCAGCCATCTCCCTCCTCTCTCCCCCTCACTCACTGCTTCAGCCCTACCAACCACCTGTTCCTTGAACACACCATGACGCTCCCCCCTCAGGACCTTTGCACATGCTGTGCCCTCTGCTGGGGACACTTTCACCAACCTCCACCATCTGGTTTCCTTCTCACCATTTGGCTTTCAGTACCAACGTCACCTCTGCAAGGCAGCCTGCCCTCATGTCCCTGAGCAGGCAGGTCTCCTTATCATAAGCTCACAGAGCAGCCATGAGACCTCACTATAAGGAACTAGGTCTCTAACTCAGGCAGGGGCAGCACCTGTGACAATTAGTCCCCTTTGTGTTCCCAGCATCCTGCACTCGGACTGTTGCACAGAAGGCCTGCAGCAAACTCAGACTGCAAGTCCGAACAAACCTATGTGCAAATCCCAAAGGTGGGGATGTCAAGCAACTAATTCTCTGAGCCTTAGTTTCCTCATCTGCAAAACTATAACAAAATACTCACTGCGTTGTGCTGTTATCAAAACCCAATAAAATGGGGGGCGCCTGGGTGGTTCACTTGGTTAAGCGACTGCCTTCGGCTCAGGTCATAATCCTGGAGTCCCGGGATCGAGTCCCACAAAGGGCTCCCTGCTCAGCGGGGAGTCTGCTTCTCCTTCTGACCCTCTTCCCTCTCGTGCTCTCTCTCTCTCATTCTCTCTCTCTCAAATAAATAAATAAAATCTTAAAAAAAAAACAATAAAATGACATGTGCAATTCCAGCACATAGCAGGTGCTTGATAGTTACTGAGGGAATGAATGCATAAGCTCAGAGGGCATAGGGACCTGGGATCTTGCAGGTCTCTTTTAAAATATAAGAGGCAAATAAAGAAATAAATTAAATAAAAAATAAGAGGCAAAGCTTCAAGATTAATACTAAAAAAGAGAATGATAACTTGCAGAGCAATACACACACTTTATGTACAAAATACAAGACAAAACATATTTTATAGGTGTATCCACAAGTATGCAAAACAGCAGAGAGAATTCTGGAAGGACACAAACTGTGACCCCAAGGGATGGGGCGGGGGGAGATTTCCATGTTTAAGCATTTCTGGATCATCTGAATTTTTTTATTATTCCTTTAGTATTTGCAAAATAAATTAAAAACCGCAAAACAAAGATCCCTGAGGCCCTCCCACCCCCATCGCAACCGTCCACCCCTACTCCCCCAGCATCGGAACCCAAAGGGACCTCCGTTGAGCTCCATGCCAGGGCTGGAACCCCTAGCCTGTCCCTGCCAGGGAACTAAGCTACACCCAGCAACAGGGAGCTCACCACCTCTGAAGGAGGCACTTTGCTTCATCGTCCTGGGGCCAAGTTCTTCCCTCAGGGGATGAGATTCTCACTCGGCCTAAGCTATTCCCACATGCCTCAGGGCTTCTGGCCTCTCCCCGCCTCCCCCCCCCGCCTGGCTGGGAGCTTCAGTGGTCCCCTCACTTGCCCACGCAGAAGTCCCGGAAGATGATGTCCAAGACCTCCTCAGTGCCCCCTCCGCCGGTGATGCGGCCCAGGTGGCCCCGGGCGAGTCGCAGCGCCTCGGCAGCCAGGGCTAGGTCTTTTGTCTGCTTGTAGTGGCCGAGGGCATCCAGGCAGCCCTGGAGATGATGCTGGTGTCTTGCACGCGTCAGAAGTGGTGGGCCTGTGGACGGGTCCCCACACCTGGAAGGGACAAAGGATGCTTTCTCAACTTTCACAACTACCAATGGAAGGGGGATGATCACTTGCATTTTGTGGACCCAGAAAATGAGCCTGGGGGGCGGGTACGTGCCCAAAGCCAGTGGCTCTGCCCTGACTGTAACTTGGGTTGAGGCCGGCTGCGGAACAGGGACGGGCGGAGGCGGGGCGGGGGAGCCGCTCACACTTCAGCCAGCTCCTTCCTCAGCGCCTCCAGGAGGCCATTCAAACCCTCTCCAGTCAAGCAGGACAGCAGCAGGTGCGGGGGCAGGTCGGGCCTGGGGTCTGGGCCCCCTCGAGGCAGCAAGTCCGATTTGTTCAGCACCAGCAGGAGGCGCCGGCTGTTCTCACTGGGGCTCCCAGCGCCTGGGGGGATGACAACGGTATCCAGGAAGTTGCAGCTGGACGGAGAGGCCAGGTCAGAAGCATCCAGCACTGCCAGAATGAGGTCAGCCTGCTCCAGCCTGGGGGAACAGGGAGAACCAACCAAGAGTTGAGTAATTAAGGGCACGGGG